ACAGGAGACCCTACCCCATTCCAGACAATGATTGCCCTATCTCTTCTTGAAAAACCCCAGTGATGGTGAAGGAAGGGAAGACGAAAGGAAGGAGACAGGGAAGGAAGGAAGAGAAGGGGAAGGGAGAGGATGGAAGGTAGGGAAGGAGAGAGGGAAAGAGTAAGGAGTGATGACATATGGATGGATGGTGGAAAGAAGGAAGGGAGAAAGGAAGAAAAAAGGAGTGATGGAAGGAAGAGAGAAAAGAAGAAAAGGAAGGAAGGAAGAAAAGGAAGGAAGTGGAGGAAGAAGGAAGGGAAACTGAAATAGAGGAAGGAAGGAGAGACAGTAGTAGAATGAAGAAAGGAAGGAATATACAGAGAGGAAGGAAGAAAAGAAAGAAAGGAGGAAGGAAATGAAGGAAGAAGGAAGGGAAACTGAAATAGAGGAAGGAAGGAGAGACAGTAGTAGAATGAAGAAAGGAAGGAATATACAGAGAGGAAGGAAGAAAAGAAAGAAAGGAGGAAGGAAATGAAGGAAGGGAAACTGAAATAGAGGAAGGAAGGAGACAGTAGTGAGAAGAAAAGGAGGGAGGGAGGGTGGGAAGGGAGGTATAGATACAGAGGAAGGTAGGAACAAACAGATTAGAGATGGAAGAAAGGAAGAAAGGAAAGAAGGATGAAAAGAATATACAGATACAGAGGGAGGAAGGAAGGAAGGAAGGAAAAGAAAAGAAGGAAGGAAGGCAAAGGAAGAAGGAAGGAAAGAAAGAAAAGGAAGGAAGGAAAAGGAAGAAAGGAAAAAGAAGGAAGGGAAAGGAAGAAGGAAGGGAGGGAAACTCACCGTTTTTCCCTGGGATCCTCTCTAAGAGGGCGAGGAGTATTTGGTTCAGCCTCTCCCGCTGCAGGTGACGGCGTTCTTCCGGGCTGCAGGGTTCCCTGGGCTCAGGGCTGCCCTCCTCGGTCTTCTTATCCAGCTCGACGGTCTCCAGGGGAGGGGCCTCCTTTTCGGGCTCCTCCGGGTGGGCTGGGGGCTCTCCCGGAGGGGGCTCGGGGTTGGCGATGGCCTCTTCGGGAAGTGCGAGAGGCTCCTCCTCCTGGGGGAGGTCCTTATTTTGGGACTTGGAGCGGTCGGACTTCCAAGATGACCTGGGGAGGGAGGGAGACAAAAGGGAGGAATAACAAGAGTGACAGAGCCGGGAGGGGCCTTGGAGGTCTTGTAGTCCACCCCCACACCCACCCCGCTCAAACAGGAGACCCTACCCCATTCCAGACAAAGGGCTGTCCAATCCTTTTTTAAAAGCCTCCAGTGATGGAGAAGGAAGGGAGGAAAAGAAAGCAGGATAACAGATTTGGAAGGGACCTTGGAGGTCATCTAGTCCATCCCCCTGCTCAGACTCCAAAGATGGGGAAAAGTAGGTCAGCATGTTCGTTTCCTGGCCTGGACTACCTCAAAGGGCTGCTGGGAAGATGCTCTCACAACCACCATCCAGGGGACTCACCTGCCTCCGTTCCTCTTGTAGTTGTCCGGTACGTAATGAGGCTGAAATGGAAGAAAAGAAAAGCCAATTAGACCCAATGCCCAGGGTGCCTTGAGGCCCATTGTTGTGGCCAGAAAGAGCTGGCGGCAGAGTCGGACAGTGAGGAGGGTTGGGGAGGAACCTGGGCCAGTCCTGGAGTCTGGGGAAGGCTCTGAGGAGAGCTCTGTGTCGGAGGCAGAGAGGGGGCCAGGGCCATCTGACAGTTATCAGCTGCCTTCGGAGTCAGACATCAGTGAGGCAGAGGAACAGCTGGAGCCTGTTCCCAGTGTGCGCATGCGCAGAGCTGCCAGACGAAGGGAGCAGCTAAAGAACAGGGGTCACCTTGGGAGTAAGGCCACAGGTGGACGGTGAATGGCCCCTCCCAGAGGAAATAAAAGAGGAGCGAAAGGGGAGTGGAGTTTGCAGGAGATTATTAATTTGCTCAATGGGTTCGTGACTCTCCGAGACTCCTGGCCAAGTTTTGCAGAGATCGGCCTGTCAGCTCTCCAAGCCAGATAAGGTCTGTGACCGTAAATCCTCCCTTGGAAGACTTTGCTGGATGGGAAGGAGCAGAATTCACAGCCAATTAATAAAAGGGGATTTTGTCCGGTCAAGGAGTCGGCTTCAGGCACTTGGGAAGCCTCACTCAGAACACCCGTCAATCAAAGAGAGGTCCTGGCAGGGAGGGAGGTTGGGGAAACTGAGGCAGGGGCCAGGCCAAAGTCTGGTTGCAGACCGTGAAGCGTTAACCACCAATCACACCGTTGTCAAATGTTGAAAGTTCCCGATGAAAAAAGGAAGACATTGATAGAGGACAGCTTGTCCTTGATTTACAATTAGGGACCATTCAAAGTTACGACAGCATTGAAAAAAATCTGACTCCTGCCCGTTGCTCACACTTACGACCGTGGCAGCCTCCACGCAGTCGCACGATTTACATTCGGACGCTTGGCGACTGGCTCAGATTTATGACCCACACAGCGTCTGACTATGTGTGTGTGATGTGATCCCGTTGCGACCTTCTAACAAGGGGGGGGGAGCCAGATTCACTTAACGACCAGGCGGCTAATTTAACGACAGCGGGCTATTCGATTCACGAACGTGGCAAAGAACGTCGTAAAAACTCACGGCGACCTAAATTTGGGGCTCCATGGCGGTCGTTGAGTGGAGGGGGGGTGGGGTGGGGGAGAGGAGCTACCGGAGGGTCCGTGGGGCTTACCGAGAAGTCTCTTTTCGGGGCCAGCCGCTTGGGGAAGTGGTCGAAGGCGTAGGATTTGGTGCAAATCGGATAGCGGTTGCGGTGGATTTTGTAGAAGAGGTGGGCCGACTTGTCCAGCCGATAATCGCAGATGTAAACGTCCGGCTCCTTCGCCCCTTTGGGCCTCCCTGCAAAGGGGGAGCGGGGAGAAGTTCTCAAGGTGGTTCTCGGCCCCAAAGACCAGCAGCCCTTCCTTCCACTGGGGGGATGGTGGGGGGGATGGGGGGCAGCCCTTTGTCTGAATGGATCGAGGGCAGGGGCCTCGGACTCGATTCCATGGGGGGCTGTGCTTGACCTCAGAGGGCCGTGGTGGCCGTGATATGGGACTCATGTCAGGGGGCACCTGTGGTGGCCAGGTGCTAAGGCAGGATTTCCCTGAGACCCTCCCTCGCTTATTATAATCTCCTTCCTTCCTTCCAATCCTTCCCAATTCCTCTTCCTTCCTTCTAATCCCAATTCTTCTTCCTTCCACTTCCGCTTCCTTCTTTCCTTCCAATCCCTCCCAATTCCCCTCCCTTCTTTCCACTTCCTTCCAATTCCTCCCAATTCTTCTTCTTTCCAATTCCCCTTCCTTCCTTCCAATTTCTCTTCCTTCCTTCCACTTCCTCCATTTCCTCTTCCAATCCCAATTCTATTCCTTCCATTTCCGCTTCCTTCTTTCCTTCCAATTCCTCTTCTTTCCAAATTCTCTTCCTCCCTTCCAATTCTTCTTCTTTCCTTCCTTCCAATTCCTCCCAATTCATCTTCCTTCTTTCAATTCCTCTTCTTTCCAAATTCTCTTCCTCCCTTCCACTTCCTCTTCTTTCCTTCCTTCCAATTCCTCCCTATTCATCTTCCTTCCACTTCCGCTTTCTTCCAATTCCTCCCAATTCCTCTTCTTTCCAAATTCTCTTCCTCCCTTCCAATTCCTCTTCCTTCCTTCCACTTCTTCTTCTTTCCTTCCTTCCAATTCCTTCCAATTCCTCTTCCTTTCTTCCTCCCTCCCTCTCTCCTCCCTCCCTGGGTTTTTGAAAGAAGCAACCGGAAAACCCTTTGTCTGGAGTGCCAGAGGGTTTTCTGCCTGAGCAGGGGGGTGGGACTACAAGACCTCCAAGGTCCCTTCCAATGCTTTCATTCTGTTATCCCCCCTCCCTTCTCTTCTTTTCCCTTCCCTCTTCCTTCTCCTGCCTTCTTCCTTCCCCTCTTTCCTTAGTTTTTCCTTTTCCTTGCTCTCTTCCCATCATCTTCCCTTCTTTTTCTTTGTTTCAAGCTCCCCACCCCCCACCCCAGGTGGCTTTGCTAGTGAGGTTTTTGGTGGCGTACACGTTTAACACAGAAATTTTTACAAAAATATAAATATATGTTTTCCTATCCTTCTTCTGGGGGGAGCTTCCACGGGGGTTTGGCACCCCAGCGACTCAAGAGGTGAGGTTGGAAGGGAGACAGATGAAAAACCCTCCCTCTGAAGCTCCTGTGGCTAAAGCGGGGTGGTCCGAGAAGCCACAGAGGCAGCCTTGGGGGGGTGGGGGAGGGAGGGAAGGGCAGGCGAGAGAAAACCCCGTTCTGGGATCTGCCCGACTTGCCTTTGCAGTAAGTGTAGAGATCCAGCACGCAGCAGGTCCCCACCACCGCCTCCAGCGGGATGATCTCGTACAGCGGCACCCGGAAGAGCTCGTTGTGATAGAACTTGCGGGAGGGCGAGTGGTGGGTTTCGTGCGGGCGGAAGTAGTGGTGGCCGAAGGCGAATCGTTCCCCCCTGCAGGAAGGGCGAGAAGCACAGGGGAGTTCCCACCCCGTAAAGCCGCTGCGCTCAGAGGAGGAGAAAGAGGAGGAGGAGGAGGTGGAGGAGGAGGAGGAAGAGGAGAAGAAGGAGGAGGAGGAGGAAGAGGAGGCTCCTCTGGGCAACCGACAATGATTTGGGAGAGAGTTGTTTTTGGAATTTGAACTCAGAGCTCGTTGCTGATCAATAGCAATAGCAGTTAGCAATAGCAGTTAGACTTATANCCAGCTTTGGTTGGGATCATCCATTCTGATAAGGGATCTCCGTGGTTTGTCTGCTTGGAACTTAAAACTGCCCGCCAAGGTAGCCATTGCCATGGGTCAACCAGGATTGAGAGTTTGATGTTGTGCCAACCAGCCCAGTTGTAGTCTGTGAAACAAACTGTGGTTTAGTTTTATTGTGTGAGCCAACTGTGGAGAGCTTTAGAAAGATATATTTTTCTGGGTGTTGTGGATTTTTTTTTAGTGTGTGAGAGAGCCTGTGTGTTAGAGAAGATGGATTTAAAAGATTTTTACAATGGCTTCATTCTTTGTCTTGTGTTTTCCTGACACAGAGCCTGGTTGTCTTTTTTCTAAAGTTGACCCCAAAGGACAGGAACACAGCAATTCCTTCCTTTAGATCATCATTTATCCAAGTTTACTGTCCGACCTCTTGAAAGACAGCTATTTTATAACTTGTGATTTCAAATGACTTGCAAATTTATTGCAATATTATTAAGCCTTTTTTGTGTGCAAGAACCTGGCTTCTAAAAAAAAACAACAGGAATTCGTTTTAGTAAAAATGAAAAGGGAGGGGGGTTGGGTTGGAAACCTAGGGGAAAAAAATTCGTTTCCTCGTTGTGTTAATCTACACAAGAAACCCACACTGCTCTAAGATGGGCTAGTCAACGACTCATCTTGTGTTGTGTTGATGATGAATTCATTGAAGAGATGAATATTAACGGGCATAAAATTAGCTCATTCCCAGAAGAGTTGGGTTGGATTGAGTGCAGAATTATTATCTCCATCGCAATTTCTAGTTCTGCTTATAAAATTGAGGCCAAGCACTAGATTGGGAGGTGATATTTTGATTTTTGTAACAAGAATTGTCGAAGTCCGGAATATCTTCCCCATTTCAGTTGTTTCAGCTACTAACTCCTAACAGTTTTAATTCTAACTTGACGCTTGTGAACCTTGTTTTATATTTAAAAAGGTTCCTAAGGGGAAGTATCTCAGATGGCTAAAGTCCGTGTCACATTTTATTTTTTTGCATCGTGCTCGTTTGAATTCGTAATCTTTGTTTGACCAATAAATTCCTCGTTCGGATTTTCTCTCTGCCATAAGTTTTCCTACATGGAAAGGCACCCCTGAACAATCTTATCTGGCCTGAGTTAGGATGTTCATTTGGTTTCCAGCTCTTTTGGATTACAACACCCAATATTCCCGTTNTTCCTTCCTTCCTTCCTTCCTTCCGTGGTGTGCAGTGCTTAGAATGAAGTACTGCAGGCTACTTCTGCTCCCTGCCAGCTGCCTGCAATTTGGCAGTTTGAATCTTACCAGGCTCATGGTTGACTCAGCTTTCCATCCTTCTGAGGATGGTAAAATGAGGACCCAGATTGTTTGGGGGCAAAAGGCTGACTCTGTAAACCGCTTAGAGAGGGCTGTAAAAGCACAGAAAAGCCGCATATAAGCCTAAGGGCTCTTGAGATTGCATTGTCCAGTTTTGCGAACTTCTGACCAGCAAAGTCAACGGGGAAATCAGAGTCATTTAACAACTGTGGGACTAACCTTAACAACGGCAGTGATTTGCTTGACAAATGGGGCAAGAATGGTCATAAAATGGGCCAAGCTTACTTAACAAATGCCTCGCAACCACCAAAATGTTGGCCTCAGTTATGAAGTCGAGGATCCCTTGCCCCTCGTCTCAAGTTCTGCTCACGTGCCATCCCACCTGCAGGGACGGAGCTGCGGTGCTGTTCCAGCCTGATGGTCCCCAAAATGTTTAGACCACCTCTCATTGGCTCCTCTCTGCCAGCTTGCAGATGGCTGAGCCTTCCGCGCTGGCGTCACCCACTTGCTGAAAGTTACAGATGCTCGTTTCCTCTGCCACCTCCATTATTTATGTGTTGCTGGGTTATTTCCATTGCATGAAAAATCCATGTATATTAATACGCGTTTAAATCCATATTGGGGAATGCGTGCTCTCTCGGATGCAATTAGGCACTGCTGCCTTATAAACACGAACATTTAGAAATGTCTACCCGGAGAGGAAAAAACCATGTTTGCACAGGCTTCTTTCCGAAGAAAATACGGTTTCTTGCGCCGTGCACATTTCGACGCTGATTTATCTACGGAGGTTGGCGTGGAAGGTTCCGTTTATTTGGGTCGGTGTCGGCTGGTTTCGAGCAGCCTTGCCAAGCACCGAGTAAAGGCAAAATCTGGAGGGTGAATTAATTTGCATCCTTAGCGTTAATCTGAGAGGCTCGGAGTAGGTCAGTTCATGCGGGAATCCCAGAGGAGAATCAAATCTCTGGAGCATCGTTTTAGCCAGGATGCCTGATGCAAAAGTCCTCTAGCATTTCACCGAATGCTACAGTGGTCACATCTGCAAGGAAACGTTGGGGGTCCACAGAAAAATTATTTGCCTTTTTTATATTGCACTCAATCAGGGGTCCTCAAACTATGGCCCCTGGGACGGATACGTGCGATGAACGCTTGTGTTGCTGCAGGGAGTCTCCCCCTTCAGGGTCTTTTTGGGTGGGTCGGAGGGGGGCAGAAATTCCCACTTGGGGTCTGCTTCAGCCTCCTGGTGGGGGGCTTTGGGCGAAGGCTGGAGGGAAGGGCCACTGGTGNCACTCTAAACACAGTTTCATCCCAGGGCATGTATTTCAAAGCCCATTTGGGTTTGGTTGTTTGTTGTTGGTTTGTTGTTACTATTGTTGTTGCTTGGATAGAAGTGGCCGTGTTTTTTTTTTTTAAAAAAACCAGAACTTAAGAAACGTGCAAACTCCACAGTGCTATTATCTTCCGATGTACAAAGAAAGTAGAAAGGGTTCCCATGGTGGGTTAGGCCTAAAATGGGATGCATTCGCATGACGCCCAAGTCCATGTAGGCAACGCCGGGCCTGTTCCAACCGTACTGGTTGGAACGGGATCCAGAACCCACCACTGGATTGTGCGCGTTCTTTAAGCACGCGACAACAAAAAGTGTAGCCACCACTGCCCTAAGTCCTTTTTTTTCCACTGCCGTCGTAACTTCGCGCGGTCGCTAAACAAACGGTTGTAAGTCGAGGACCCCCTGGGTTAAACCGGCGTGTGGGAATAAAGCCGAGTTGTAGGACCAGCAAGCAGGCTTCCCTGCCAGTGGCGGCTGCGGCAGCTTTCCCTCCTGCTGGATTTATCTGCTTTCATAATCAATAACAATTACCTCCGTCCGGAGGGAATCTCCCGCAGCCAGCCGTGGGCCCTGCATCAAAGCCATTAATGCTTCGACAAACCAGGTCTTTAGGGCTTCATCCAGACTGGTCCTGGCATCTGCTCCCCCTCCTCAATAATCCCCCTCCCCACCCTGCCTTTGCATGGCGGCGGCGGGTAAGGGTGGGTGGGTAGGAGAACCGAGCTCTTGTCAAATGCGATGTTGTGAATAATGCTCCTGGCTCAACACGCCGATAAATCAAAAGCCTTATTAATCAGAAGGTTTCATTTGCGGGCACGGTAATAAATTGGCCAGTGATGTACCTACTCCGCCCCCTGGCCCCTCCCACCATTGATTACCCGTTTATTAACTAACTTCATTCCCCTCTCGCTGGCATGCACACATCGCACACACGGCGCAGGCTAACGAAACAAGCCGGGTTCCGAGAAGGCGTTAAAACGGTCAAATGCACACAAGCGTGTTCCTAGACGCAACCCGTCTGCCCGTCCCAGTTTTCATATAATGCCACCCATGTTCGTTTCTGGCTAGTATTATTATTTTTTTAAATGCCAAGCTGCTGAGTGGGTATTACAGCTAGTCCACGACTCACGACCCACAAAATTTCCGTTGCTACGCTAGACACCGTTAACAGAGTTTTGACCCCTTGTATGAGATTTCTGATCGTGTTGGTTAAGAGAATTGCTGCCGTTGTTAAGCTAGTAACCCGGTTGTTAAGTGAACCCGGCTTCCCCCTTGATTTTGCTGGTAAGGAGGTAGCAAGGGGTCGACGCACGATCTCGGGACGCTGCAATAGGAGCCGGTGGCCAAGGGTCCAAATTTTGATCAGGTGACCATGGGGATGTTGCAACGGTCATCAGTGTGAGAAAGGGTCGTAAGACACTTACGTAATGCCATCGTAACTTTGAACAGTCACCAAACGAATGGCTGTAAGTTGAGGATTGCCTCTGCCTGGGATGGCACATGGAGTTGCAACACCTTTGGTGTTCCCTGAGTTTGGGAAAGCTGACTTAAAGGACACCTTAAAGGGCAGCAGCAATCCAGGGTCATCCAGATTGGGATACAATCCTATTTATTGATCCACTAGCCGATAACTCGGCGTTGTCCAGATATTTATTTATAGGGGGGAAATGTGTCCGGACCAAACGTAATTTCTAATGTTGGATTTTCCCCCTTACCAGAGGGAGCCACCTTGTGGAGTACCGTGAAGCCATTACCATGGCAATTCCACTGCGCTGTACAATAGAAGCCATTTTACAGCAGTACAGTAGAAGCCATTTAAAGGCACAACAAGCTGTATCTTAACAGAACACACACCCCGAGGGACGTTAGGGGTGTCTTATCCCCACAGTATTTGTCTCCAGAGGGCAAGTCATCTGTGTAGCCAAGTTTGGTTGAAATTGCTCCAGGCGTTCCAGAGTTATGCTGGAACACACACACACACACACACACACACACACATTTCATGTCCGTCCTGAAGATATGTCAAGAAGATGATCCAGAAGGGCGATCCAGTAGAACTTCTGGTCGCGAACGTTTCTGACCACGACCAAATCTGATCAAAA